AATATGTATGTGCATCTTACACAAGTGTAATCGAAAATAATAAACATTACCTATATGTTTCAACGAAACAAAATTATCTAAAATACACGCCAGTCTAAATATTACTCGTCTAATCTCACGATAACATTTGCACATGCATGTTACACGAAGGCCATTGAAATGTTATGTTAGTTGTGCTACGAAAAGTTACAAAGGAAAGCTGAAAAAAAGATTAATTCTCAAATTTAAAATCATTGCCAAGCTTTTAAAAACTCGATTTAAAAAATTAATTTAGAAGCACTTTACATAATTTAATATGGAAAACCTGAAACGTTGAACTTTTGTGAACACTAAACACATTTAATCTCGATCATGCTAACACATTCGCTCGAAATATCGTATTCATATGACAAATTGTTTCTATAATAATGCAAGTGATATAAACATTATTCGAATGTTCCAATTGTTAAAATTACCGTAACGCGAAGCTCTCATAATTGAAGTGGAATTTTGCAAACCGATTACTACATTAATGCAATTAAACGGCAAAAAAAAAAAACAATTGTATAGGAGATACGTTTTACCGTTGCACAAATTGCAGTAAATTATTTATTTATCGAATGAACATTCTATAGTTTTTTTTGGACGTTCCTCGCGTAATAGCCCAGTACGTTCGTCGCAAACTGCATTTCGCTCGGCCGTACGAGCAGCTCGGGGCCATAGGATTAAATGCCGCAACTTATGCAACAGTATATCGTACAACTGCGGACGGTGCTAACTAATTCAGGGTCGAACGAATTCGAAACTTCGTGTGTGGCATTAGCTTTCAAGACGGCCTTTACGTTGGCCGCTAATAACTGTAGCAAGAATGTGACCATTAACTGATAAGTGTTATTGCAAAAAATTAACTTTTACTTATGCAAAAAAAATATCAAAGAAGAGAACGACAGAGAGAATTGTTAAACGTATTCAGAATCGATAATATGGAATATTTCACTGATCGTCGCAAATACGAACGTTTTGTGAGAATACAAACTGGAAATGGCTACATGTACGTTCGAGAGGCGCGTAACACGCATAATTCAGAAATATCAGCGGCGGGCATATATATAATATATAATATATAATATAGCAAATTTACCGTCCTATATTCGTGCGTGTTATTATCTCCTTTTACGTATCCTGCTGACATTCGCAACTGCCACATTCAAATGCCAATTACATGGAAAAACAATTTTGCTAAAATAATATCTAAAAATTTAGCTAGATATAGATCCGAAGATAATTTTGCTGGACTGAAAATAATTTTGTCAGAATAATTAGGAATCTCGAGCATGACGAGCAATGCTGCAAAAAGTTTTGACATTCTAGCAACTAGTTTTGAATGCCCTACATAATTATTTTCATGTGATTTAACAAAATTATAAATTTTTAGATCTCAAATTGATTCCTAGAGTATCGAAACTTTTTACAGTATTACTTGTCATATTTGAATTTTCTACAGAATTATTTGGATGGTCTAACAAAATTATTCTTTTGGATTTGTCCAGCTAAATTTTTAAATGCTTCAGCCAAACTATCCTTTTTTGTATGCGAAGCGGACAAATGGCGTGTCGCGTGATAAACGTTCTCCAATGTCGTTCAGCTGTATGCGAAGATTCAGGATTTGTTAAAGATGTAATTAAAAAAGGGAGTCACTCCGACTTAGAGCGATTGTGTGCCCTTCAGGCACAACTTTTTCGAGACTCGGTAAAAATCGCACGAACTTTTTTTTGTGCCCGCCTTTGTACGCGGGTACAAACCTTCCTCCTTCAAAGAGGAAGGTGTTCCACTTCACGCGAACGATCCGCGTCCTTCCACGCGCTCAACTTGCTATATCGGACAGGGTTAAATATAAGTATGGAAGTTATATACGAGAGAGAACCTATAAGTTCGAAGAAACGCGTGCTCGAGCGATGAACGGCGAGGAGGTGTCGATGATAGCGGAGTGACTTTAAATACATCCTGATGCTGCTGGTCGCTAATCGGCGCCACGTATGAGATGTTTGCGGACAAGTGTTCTATGAAAAATGTTCGCGTTCATGCGTGCTCCGATTTATCCACGCCAGAAGCCCATCGTCGAGACACCCCGCGCAATAAACCTTCTCGTCGCCGCGACGAGAAGGTAATTCAGGCGAAGAAAATCGCGTCTGCGATCCTCGAGAGATGTTCATCCACAGCGATGATGCTTGATGTAAATACGAATGATTAGTAATCTACTGGTCCCGATCTCGGGTCTGATCTCGAGTTCGATCTCGGCCCTCATTCTATATACTTTGTTAAGAAGTTAAATATTAATTAAAGCCTGATTTTTCATTTTTTGTAAATATCGAAGGAGCACTGTTAATCCAATCTCCTAAAATTAAATAACGTTTCGTTATTTTTAACTTATACATCATATATGTCAAAATGTAATAAGTCAATCCATTTCTGTGGTTAGTTTCAAAGTCCATGTTAACGTATGCAAATAATAAGCTAAATTTCAGTTGAATTTAATACATTTTTTTTAATTAAAATTTTAATTCCATGTTTTAGTTAAATTAACGACTTTATATTGTGTACAAGCAGAGGCGATAGAAATAATTAAAAATAACTGAAGTATAATATGACATTAATTTAATAGAGAGTGTACTTAACTTGTGATTAGACTTAACCTGATGGTAATGTAAAAGTAGTATTTTTCTAGCCTATGGTTAATATACTATATATTACCAAATTGATAGTAAGTAATTTTTTATAGTAAGGTTTTATAGTAAGTAATTAAAGTTACCATTACAAAACCATCAGTTTAATGATTAACCACAACTAAAAAAAATAAAATTTTTACATTAAATTAAACGAGATTAAATCTAAACCAGAAAAATCTTTAATCAGAAAATAAAAAGCTAACCGTAAGGCCCGGTTTTTTATTTTCTAATTAACTTATGATTAGACTTAACCTGATGACAATGTAAAAATTATATTTTTTTAGCCGTAATTAATCATTAAACTAACGGTTTTATAATAATTTTTATTATTAGAAAACTATTAGTTTAATGATTAAAACTATAGTTAGAAAAACACAA